CCAAGGCCAGGTGGTTGTGAGGCTGAGTTCCTATAGAGGCTGCTCTCCCCTTCAAGGTGGCGTGGGCTCCATGCCTGAGCCCCGCAGCCCAGGAAGTGCCCACAGTGGTGGCAGGGGCTCCCTATCCAGGAGAGCCTGGTCTGCCAGCCCCCGAGACTCTTGCAAGATCTAATTGTCCCTCACTCACACATGCACACACTAAACACGTGCACACATGCCCCTTTCACTCCCTTATTCACTCACACTCTCTCACTCATCACTGTCCCGCCAGACGCCATCTTGATATCTCCCCTGTCAACCATTTTTTAATCGAATTGCTTGTCTTCCTTTTTTCAAGTTGTATGAGGTCCTTATATATTTTGGATATTAACCCCTTATCAGATATATCACTGGCAAATATGTTCTCCCATATAGTGGGCTCCCTTTTCATTTTGTTCATGGTTTCTTTTCTTTTTCTTTATTGATTAAGATATTACATATGTGTCCTTATCCCCCCATTGCCTCCCCCACCCTCCTACTCATACCTTCATCTCCCTGGTGTCTGTGTCCATTAGTTAGGCCTATATGCATGCATACAAGTCCTTTGGTTGATCTCTCTCCCTTACCCCTGCCCTCCCCTACCTTCCCTCTGAGGTTTGACGGTCTGATTGATGCTTCTCTGTCTCTGGATCTGTTTTTGTTCATCAATTTATGTTGTTCATTATAATCCACAAATGAGTGAGATCATGTGATATTTATCTTTTTCTGACTGACTTATTTTGCTTAACATGATGCTCTCCAGCTCCATCCATGCTGTTGCAAATGGTAGGCGATCCTTCCTTTTTACAGCAGCATAGTATTCCATTGTGTAGATGTACCACAGTTTTTTAATCCACTCATCTGATGATGGGCATTTAGGCTGTTTCCAAATCTTAGCTACGATAAATTATGCTGCTATGAACATAGAGGTGCATATATCCTTTCTGATTGGTATTTTTAGTTTCCTGGGATAATTCTTTTGCTGAGCAGAAGCTTTTTATTTTGATGTAGTCCCATTTGTTTATTTTCTCCTAAGTTTCCTTTGTCCTAGGAGATGTATCAGCAAACATATTGCTATGAGAGATGTCTGAGATTTTGCTGCCTATGGTTTCTTCTAAGATTTTTACGGTTTAACAACTTAACATTTCAGCCTTTTATCCATTTTGAGTTTATTCTTGTGTATGGTGTAAGTTGATGGTCTAGTTTCTATTTCTATCTGTTTCTCTTCTTTCACCATCAAACTTCTGGCTTCATAATTCATAATTGTGCACTGTCATTCAACTTGTACTACTATCTCAGGTGTTTCAACAACCTCCACATAGTCTAAATCTCTGCCCTTCCTTCTCTTTCACAATCCTTTAATGTTGTTGATTTCTTACTATTGGAACCCCCCGCCCCCAGTCTTCCATGAACCAGCACATGTCAAGTTCTCTTATTACCTCTCTGACAGCTATCCCTTTGCTTCTCAAGGCTCCATTTTTCCTCTGGCCCACTCAAAGCAAGTTTTTCTTATGATTCTCTTCTCAACTCTCTTTTCTTTCTGCAGACTATTTTTTGGCTATTGCATTGCCAACAGTATCTGCTATCATCTCTGAGTGATTTTGGTCTCTTTAGCTTAATCGCAAGCCCCAGTTAGTATTTCTAATTGCCAGCTGGACATCTTTACCTGGATTTCTATTGTCACCTGCTACTCTTGTCCTAACAACGTTTATTTACTTTACCAAGTCAGTCACTCCATCCATGTATTCCCTTCTATTATTACCAAT